AAAATAGTTAAAAAAAATATATATATATATATATATAGTTATATGATAAACTCTCTATACCATTACATATCCTTGATTTATTCCTTTATTCCTATTTTAGATTTAAATTTTTTTTTTTATTTTAGAAATTTTTTTTTTTTTCTTGAAAAAAAAGACTATTGAGCTTAACGTGAGTGTGAAGTTAACTTTAACAAAATTCCGCTAAATATTATCCGACTAATCTTTTTTTTTTTTTTTTTTTTTTTTACAGGTCATTATGCATGATAATGCGCATTAAGTTAGAATTTAGAACAAACATAGATATTAGATATCGATAAGAACAAAATATGCCATCATGGTTTTTTTTTTTTTTTTTTTTTTTTTCTTTGTTAAAAAAACAATGAAAATAAAATATTTCATATGGTAAAGTTATTTATTTATGTTTACGTAAAACTATAATTAAAATTTAATTTATTTCGTAAAAAAAGAACTTATCCATTTTCTGAATTGTTCAATAAACATTTACTCATGAATTTTGGATTAACAAAACCAACCAATAATAAAATTCCATTATCTTTAACGCCCAATTTAAAAAAGGATCTGATAACTCAATTTGTCAAGCAGATTCAATTAATTATCAGATTTTTATACATGATTGAAAATGATGATCTACAGGGACACATTTCCTCACGCACTCAACCTGTTATATAATTCATACTAAAATTATTTATTTATATATCTCCCTTTTTTTTTTTTTTTTTTTTTTTTGTTGGAAGTTAACCAAAATGACATCCTCTGAACCACTTCTTTCACAACCCCGTAGTCGTAGTTCAAGTGGTTCAAGGTATGAAGCAATACCTACACGATCTTCTATATCACTTGAATTACCAGAGGAAAGAAGTCTTAGCTCTGACACTGATTATGAAGATAATGAATCTCATAAAGGTTCGTTAGAGGAAGAAGATATTTATGAAGAAAGACCTTGGAAGTATAAAGTTATTGCTTTATTATGCGTTCTGTCTTTAGCTGGTAGGTTTACCTGTGTCTAAATTAGTAGGTCATGTGATTTATCATTAATTTTTTCTATAAATCATGCGCTTATCAGTGGGAAGTCATTACGCTGGTCATACTCTTGGTGCTCTAAAATCGACAATCAAGAAAGTAAGCTCATGCCTTTCAATGTCAATTATCCCACAATCACATGATATTAACCTTATTTTTATATTTTTATTTATAGGAATTAGACATTTCAAATTCACAATATGGTGTCATTCAGTCATCAGTATCTCTGGTTAACACAGTTCTACCGATTCTCGGTGGGGTATTCATTGATACATTTGGGACTTCGGTTGGCTCCATATTGGCTACTTCTCTTATAGCTATAGGAAATATCTTGGTAGCATTATCAACTGATTTGAAATCATTTGCTGTAATGGTCATTGGTAGAATATTGTATGGAATTGGGAGTGGAACGATTGTTATAGTCCAAGTGGCTATTTTGAGTCATTGGTTTAAAGGGAAAGGACTGGCGATTGCAGTAGGAATTCAAATTGCTATATCGAGATTGGTATGTATATAAAGGAGATTTGCGCATGATTGCAGATGATTTTATTTTAACATTTGCCAATTATTTTATTAAAAAAAATAAATAAAAAAAAAGTCGTCCTTCTTGGCCAATCTTACAGTGGTTCCAATCACAAGGATTACAGGATTTTATGGATGGGCATTTTGGGTACGATAATTTTCAATTTCCACTTGAAATCTTTGTGATCTTTTAACCAACACGTTCTTTCTTTGTGATTTAGTTTTCCGCATTTCTTTGCATCTTTTCATTAATAATCAATATCACATACGTTCTTCTAATGAGAATCCTTCATGAAAAATTAACGACACAAGAAATGATGAAGATTAAACAAAAGAGACATTTTTGCCCTAAAAAATTATTGTTGTTCCCTACCATTTATTGGATCTTTGTTTTGCTTGAATTTGAGTTGGGTAGTGCTTGGACTTCATTCTTACATATCCATACGTAAATATTCATCTCATTCACATTATTATTAGTTGATCCGTGTTTTGATGCCTTTACGAAAAACTAACTCACATTTATATTAAAGGGAATTGGTAAAAAATAGATGGGATTGTACTGATGAAGTTGCGGCTTATAATTCTAGTATTGCTCAGTTCTTGCCAATATTCATTTCTCCTTTCCTTGGATATTTTCTGGATCGCTTCGGAAATCGTTCTTTAATTCGTAAGTTTTATATTATATTAAAATTCAATTTTATTTCATAATTGTAACTTAACAACACACTTATCCCCCCCCCCCCTAATTTAGTGATCGCTTCTACAGCTTTTCTCACTATATCGATGTACCTTCTTGGATTCACTTTAGCAATTACACCAATCATAGGAATGATTTGTTTTTCAATTTCACTTTCATTAGGACCGGTAGCATTAATGTCATCAATACCTGTACTATTACCTTTAGATTATATTGGTACAGCATTAGGTATAGTTAAATCAAGTTCAAATATTGGATCAACTATTTATGATATATTTGTGGGGTTACTACAAGATCTGGATAAAGGCGAGTATGATATGGTAATGATTCTTTACTTAGGTAGTAGTATACTCGCTATAATCGTATCTACATGTTTATTTATTGTATCAAAGAATTGGTATGATGGTATATTGGATATGAGAGATGATGAAAGAAAAGGTTATTACGAAGAAAAACTCAGACGTTATAATCATCATAATGATGATGATTCATATAGTGAGAATCATGATCTAGTGAAACGTAAACTACCTAGTATAAGAAATTATTTTTATATTGGTCTTTTTATTAGTGTATTAATTTTAAGCTGGGTTTTATTTTTCATATTTGTAATTCACAAAGAGTAAATATTCGTATAGAAAAGAAATGTTATTAAGAGTATCATGACGATATCATCAATATTAGATCAAGCAATTTAATAGAAATTATATATACGTCAAGGAAAATATATTATTATTATCATTCTATTATTATTATTAAATCTATTACATTAAAATATCTATTTTATTATGAATTTCGAATCATGAACCTGTAAAACTATTAAAACAATGAATATTGCTTTTAACGTTTCAAATTCTGTCCAAAAAAAACCTTTTATTATAAATTTTATATTATTTTAAATATTCTGTTAGCATTTATGAATGAAACTTTTACCATTTGCAATGAGTCTATTAAAACCAAATTTTCACTAATTTTAACCGTTATAACTTTATAAGAATATCATTTTATAGGAATACAATACTTGTATTTTTTTATATATATATATATATTTTTCTATAAATTAAAAAAGAAAAAAGAAAAATAATTAATATAAATTTATTTTATATTAAATATTATAATTATTATTTAAAATAATGATTTCTATAATAAAAATTAAGTATAATTTATAATTTAATATAAAAGTATTTATTTTTAATAAAATGATTATTTAAAATAAAAATCTATATTTATACATAAATATTTCCCTTTATAGTCGCACCCTTTAGAACTAAAAATAAAAAGTGTGATTATAATAAAAAGTGATTATATAGGAGATTTTTATATATTATTACTAAGTGTTAGTACTAAAAAAATATATCTATAAAAATACTGTGATTATAAAGGGGTTTTTTATATAACATTAATAGGTATTAGTTTTTATGAAATGTGTACTTATAATAAGAAATTTATATATTTATAATATAATAAATTTATTTGGTGTAATAATAACGTTTAGATTACTTATTTATGCGTGTATAACAGTAACATTTAGATTACTAATTTTTACGTGTATTACAATACCGTTTAGTATTTCTAATGAGTTGAGTTGAGTTGAGTCAAATCGAGTTTTAAGTCAAAATTATCCTACATACCTTTAATTTAAAGTACTTATTTATTATGTGTAATTAAAATTTACAATTATGCACAATTATGCAAATCAAATATGCGAGTTTATGCAAGTTATTTTCAGAACTCTAATACCGTTTATAATACATATTTATGCATGTGCAACTGTCATTTTTATATACGTATGACGTGATCCATATTTGAGTAATTATTATGTGAATAATGTGTATACTTTACAGACTTTTTAGTTGTAAATAAAACCTTATAAGCTATAATTAGTATAATATTGATAAAAAAAATATGAGCTTTAAATAAAAAAATTTATATATCACCATGTTTTATATGTATACCAAGTACACTACACTACAATAAATTACCAGATTTTATAAATTTTATTTAGTAATATATAGTAAAATTGAACATCTTTAGGTTGCATAAAAATTTACAAATTTTCAATAAAAGTCATCTGATTTTTTTTTATTTAATAGCTGATCAATTATAATTTTTAGATATTAAAATAAAAAAAGAAATTTTTTAGAACATGAAAAAATTTTCTCATAT